AACAAAGTGAGTGCTGTCTGTAGCAATGAAAGTATTATATACAGATACAGCAATTCTATTATGTATGTAGCATTGTGCTACATTTGAGAAGGTCTAACAAGAAAAGCAAAATAATTATATTGTTTGACCTGTGAGAAAAAATTAAAGATCTGGAATAAAGTTTTTTAGAGGAAAGAAAGCAGCAAGGTGATTTAGAAAAAGAAAACCGATATTATAGGAAGAGGTTAGTATTCTCTTGATGAAGAGTAACTAGGTTCATCACAGTCAAGTAATTCAGCATAAATGCCTTTTTGATGGCAAGTGTAGAAAGACATTAAAGAAGTCATGAAGATTTGGGGAGAAATTTGCTAGCCCCTTGTGACATTGCACCATAAGCTGGAAGGGGAGTGAGTGTGAATAGCTGATGCCTGGTGACCTCTTACAGCCTCATGTTTGTGTATCAAAATTTGGAAAATTTAATAACCATCATCGAAATAATACTTTTCACAATCAGATTCCCCAAACCTGTATTTACCAGGGGTAGTTGTGGAGGTAGCGGAAATGGGATCTGAGGAAAATAGTGGTCCTTGTAGTGGGTAAAAATTACATGTCTGAAAAAAGAAACATGGTGTCAGTCATTTCAGATAACTATAAGCTTTTAAAATGAATATGTCATTTGAAAACACAACTAGAAGTTTACCTGTCCACTGGAACTTTCTCCAGAATGAGCTTGTAAAACAATAGCAGCAATAAGGTAAAGCAACCTATGGCAATACATTAGTCATTACAAAGAGATTTTATTCTAAATGGGAAGAGGTAAGCCATTATTGAGCATTATACTCATGAGTGATGTAGCTTCACCTTGAAAATAAGCAGCTGGGTATCTAATAGGGAAAAGTGAATTAATTTTTGTCCAGTGATTCAGAACATGTCTTTAAATTTATTTCCAAGGAATGTTTGTATTTATATTTTTTAAGATTAATTACATGTTATGACACTTTATGTTCAAATCAACAATGTTCTCAAGTTCTCAGCATTTCTAAGTTCAAAGTGAGTAGGGAAATATAAATTTACATTTTGCATTTTCAAACACTAATTCTGAAGGCTCCTTCACTTTGAAAGCTCCTTTGTCACAAAATGTGCAGGGGTCAGAGTTCTTGCCTATTTGGTGCCCTACATATTCAAACTGTAACAAATACAGATCAGACTCATGGATCTCATTTGTATAGATGTGGAATGCCTGGCCATTCCAAACATGAGACAGTTTGGGGTAAGGGTATTGTAAATGAAATTCAGTGCAAATCATGTAATGAAGACCTAGGCTGCTGTGAATGCTCATTCTATACTGCTGTTTATTTGAGAGCCTCTTATGTTCCAGTCAGGGTGCTTCAGGGCTTTAGATGCATCTTATCACCTTCACACAACTCTGAGGTAGTCTTTATAACTCATTTTACAGATTGGGAAGCCATGGGTTGGTTGCCAGCTCAAGGTCATACAACTAACACATGGCGCAAGGAGCAGAGATTTGTACTGGCAGACCATTGGGCTGAGGAAGAGTGGTGAGGTCCTGGTTCTACAGTTCTTCCAGACTCTCCTTTCATCTTCAGTGTAATGACAAGATACAAGGAATGCTTTCTAGACCAGAAGCACTATGTTTCTAGAATGGAAATGGAATGGCAAGCTGAGGAGTACTCACAGGCCTGGGGAGAGCAGTGGCAGAGCTCAAAGGTCAGCCACGATGGGAAATTTCATTCTGAGGGAAGAACCTGGAACTAAAGAGATAGGAGATCATTTTTAGTTTTTTTTTTTAAATCTAACTCCTGCTCCCACCATAGATTGTTTAGTTAAGAGTTCTAACTAAAGTTTAGTTCTGCCTTTAAATTCAGTTTTTATATACCTACTTCAGTGGTTTAAGAAACTTTGATGCCTTTAGAGAACACATGCCATCTCTGGCTCAGAACATTGCATACATTTCCCACTCTTTCTTACGATCTCACAGTTCAAGCTGTACCTGTTTGGTCCCTGACGTTACTTGAATTTGTGACCTCTACTCACAAATCTTCAAATGCCAGTATCATGCTTTAGTACTGGGGATGTATCATCACTGGTTCAAAGGAGATTTCTTTCTTTCTTTCTTTTTTTTAAAGTATCACTGATATACAATCTTATGTAGGTTTCAAGTATACAATACAGTGGTTCAACAGTTACCCATATTATTAAATCCTCACCCCCTCTAGTGCAGCCACTATCTATCAACGTAATAATACAGAATCGTTAACTGTATGAGATTTCTTATGTAATATACAAATAAATCAACCTTGAGCTTCTACCCTCATGAGAATCACCAGGTCTTCACAGGTCCGTAATTGAAGAAATTACAATTTCTCAAGAAGAAAATGATATGGAAAAAATCTTGTAAGGCATAATGGGTTGGTAGAGAATAAGCACAATATGAGTAAATTCAATGAAGCAAACAAATGTATTATTTACTAGCCAGCTGATTCTGAAAGCAAACCTTTTTATGGTCTTAAATAACATTTAATTTCAATTTCACTTACCTTAGGAGTTTCAAACCAATCATTGTACTCTGGAATTGAATTTTGGAGGAAAAACAAAATTCATCATATTCTATTAAGATTTGTTCCCAGCATCTGAAGCATGTATATCTCTTTATATATGTCACTCTTCAACTATTTTATATGTATTTGAAACTCAACTGTGCCTTGTGTTAGTGCTATTTTACTTTGCATGAATTTAGGCAACTCATCTCCCTTTCCTTTCCATGTTTCTTCTTTGTAATTTTTCTTCCTTGTGGATCCAAACCCCTGAATTTCCTTCTTTATTTGGATAAGAGGACCTACTAGAAATCATTAAATGATCCAATACAAGACTATCTTTGGCCTAGAGCAATAGAACAAGTCCAAATTAGAGTGTATGTCTTTTTAATTACCTTTGCTTGAAATGGTCCTCAGAGCAGCACATTCAAGGAGCAGGGTGATCTTTCAGGCTCTCTAGGCCCTTCTAGTATTTAAGCCACATTACTGATGCCTTTACGGTCATGGGCAATATTAGTCAAAACATTCAAAGCTAAACTGGATAATTGGTTCCAGACTAGGAACTCCAACTTCTAAATGTATCTCGATTACATAGAGATAGGCTTATGGACTGCTTACTGAAAAAATAACTTCATCTCCTTGGTTGGATTAGAGTAATGTTTTTATCACAAACAATCCACAATTAAAAATGGTCACCACCAAGAATATTAAAATGCTTCTGCAATATATGATCCAGGGCAGCTGTATGCAACAGAGCCTTAACTGAAAGAAAAAATTTAAGGTTGTAAAATTTCTATTATTAAACATTTTTTTCATTCCAAAATGAAAATTATTTTCAAATAAAACATTTTTGGCAAACATTTAGGTGGTGTCTTTAGTGTTAAAATTACGTTTCACTATTCCAAAACATTTAAAACAGTAATTTAGGTATAATTAATACCTCCAAATATAATTTGTTCTCAACAAAGTCACAAATTCACAACTGTAATGAGTTAAGACTGCTCATGGTATTCTTGGCAGCTACTCATAAAAACATTCTGAATATTGGAATTCTTTCTAAAAATTATTTCCCTACTTGGAAAAAGTGTAATAGTTCAATTTTGATGAATCAAATTAAATTCAAATATTTACAAAGGACATGGTATGAAGTGGTCTGGTTAAGAATAAGTGATTCATATGTTTTCAACCTTTATCTTGCATCTACCTACCACTTCAGCATTTTATTAAAAAAATAATAATAATAATTAGGGAGAGATGTGGGATTCACATATAAATCAAGTATAAAATCAAACGAATAATCATATCTGACTTGATCGTTTATAGTTCACGATGTGTGATCAAAACCGAAAGTTTCTGTGATATGGCTGCCCTTGCACTGTTCACCATGTAAGTACTTATTCACCATGTAAGAACTTGTTTGTTATGCTTTAGAAGATTGGAGACTGTTGAGAATTAGGCTTGGGGTTGATTAATGATTGTGCATTGAGTCCCCTATACAGAATTTTATTGTTAACCATTTGATCAATAAATAAATATGAGAGATGCCTCTCAAAAAAAAAAAGAATAAGTGATTCATTGAGCTAAGAAAAGAGATAAATACAATTCTGAAGTCAATCAGAGGAGATTATTCTGATAAAAAACAAACTCTTCCATAGCATCCTTCAGATGAAATTCCTTGGGGCACATTCAGAGACCATCACAGATAAACTCTGAACAACAACAATTTCTTAATTATTTGAAAAAACAATCAAAGATATTTGCATTGATAGTTTCCATTTCAGATAGAAAAATACGTAAAAAAATTTTAACTTACTTTTAGATATTGTAAGCAGACTATAGTGGGTGCTAGGATCTTTTGTTGCCTTGCACCAAACCTTGGGAAACTCTGTGACGGTGTCTTTTATATTTTTGCAACCTAGATTTTACTGTATTAATAGTTACCAAAGCAGAGTTTGAATGAAAACACACATTTTCTCTTATGACACATTTTCTTGCAATTAATTTACAGTAGTAATACTTATCTGAGACTACATGGGACATCAGAACACTTCAGGGTTCTCCACTGTGTTATTTTCCTATTACCCTTATTTTGTGGACATGACATGTGCAGGACTTTTGCAGGGCCTCCCTCTCCCCCAGCCCACCTGCACAGTGGCATGCAAGCTGGAATTAGTCGTATTAAGCAGTGTGCATAACTGCTTTTAACTGAAATTGGTGAAAAGCACTTGAATTCTTTTTTTCTGTTGAAACTTACATTATGACAAAGGATATTAATAAGCAGCTACTATATAACAATTGGATATTTATTTCCCATAGGAAACATCTCCCTGAACCACTCTCACACTTTTTTTTTAAGTAGTAGGGTCTAGGAAGCACAGTGGTGATGTGATATGAAGTGTGAGTCCTGAGTTGGTCTTTCACATATAATTGTGTAAATAAATGATTGAAAATAAACTTGAATAAGCATTTGGATTTTTATGGAGTTTTATTAGGATATTAAGATATTGAAAATGATAGACATTAACAGTAAAAGAGCATTATTCATTTTCTTGAAATGCAGATGATCTTATGGACAAATGACTGTATAATTTTTCAAGCTTTATAATTAGTATCATAAATGGATGAAGAGAGTGGTGGGTTAAACTTCTGTTCACAAACAGCATACAGTATTTTGCATATTGATTTTAAAGTTTTATTTCCAAAGTTAATGTTAAATGCTTGATGCACACGCTGTTACCAAGTAATTATTCTCATTATCTTCTTGGACATGCAAACATTTTGCTAAATAGAAATCTACGAGTATCATGCTGCATATATTTCAGAAGTGGTCATAACAGAGAAGATGGCGAAACATTTGAGTTCTTTCAAATCTTAATTCAAAACAGGAGATTTTCATCTACGTCTTCTGTAAAACACAAAAACAAAACACACTTTTAGAAAGTAGCCAGACTACTAATGTAAACAATGCTGGAGCTGGGGGCTAGACAGGCCACCTAATGGCAGTATGCAGGTTTCCAACCCTGGCAGGGCATCAGCATCACCTGTGAAGTTTTGAAAAGATACAACCTCAGTCCTTAGCCCTGGCCTCTGGAACCAGAATCTCCAGGGGCTGCCCAGTGGGCACTAACTTTAGGAAGCTGTGTAGATAGTTCTGATGGAGGGCTGAGAACCACCAATAGAGGAGGTTCAGGGGACGCCCAGCAGAGAAGTACCTATAACGGTTGCTAAAATATAATAGATATAAATAGAAGTAGAGTCCCAATTAAATCACATTTCCAGTCAAGTAATGGTAGAACAACTTGCTGCCACAGCAATGGACGATGATAGCTGCATCCTCTCGAGGAGGTAAGCCCACCAGTATGGCCCTCCCTCCCTCCGTAACTGTGGAAGAAATACTTAAAGCAGATTGACTTTTGAGCACTGATCTCATTGTACGCTTTCCCAAGTACTTAAAAATTCAACGTGTTAAAAATGGCACTTATCATCTCCCCTAAATCTGCTTCTGTTATTTATGTTTTCTTCCTCCGTGGAAGGTATCTTTATTTATCCTGTGTGGCCTGGGCCAGGAACCCAGACATCATATTTCTCTTTCTCTGTCTCTCAATTCTGACCCTACATATTTCCCAGGAAATATTGACTTCTTCTCTCTACATGCTATATAGAATATATATTGAATATGTTTATGTTCTTGAATGTATCTTGAATATGTTTCCTTTTCTTTTCCCCACTGTAACTGCCCTAATTCAAGTTCTCATCAACTCTTGCCTGAATTTACCACAACAACCTTTTGATGTATTCTGTCCTTTCTGCAATATAACTAAAGAATCTTTTAAAAATACAAATCCAGTGAAGTCACTTCCTTGCTCAAAACACTTCAGTGATCCTCCATCACTTTTAAGATATGTTTTTTAATTAACTTAGTGGGACCCACATGGTTTGATCTGTTTAACCTGTTAATCTCACTTGAAAGGTTTTTCTAAAGATTGATGTGGATATATGTTAATACAGGGTATGTCAGGGGCACTAAAATAAGACTCCTCCACCTCTTAATTGAGCCCCATTTTTGTATACAAGGAAAATGAGACTTGCTGAAGATCTGTGGCATGCCCTAATTCACATTGCGAGTTAATGACAGAGCTCATTTAGTTCAGATAAATGGCAGTTAAAATTCAGGAAAATACTGGCTAAAATTTATCTTTTTGTCCTGTGAATTTCTCAGCCTTGAAAGAAGGAAAGGTATACTTACAAATTAGATTTTTTTTCTTTCTCTAGTTTCTTTCCAAAGCAGCAATTTGTTTACTTGTTCTGAATGTTTAATATCTGGTTTATTGGCTTATTATGTGATAATTCTTTCCCTCCTTCAAAACAACAGAATCATGGCCAAACCACAGTGAACAAACAAGATCATTAGGAGCTTTTTGAGTCTATGAACTTCAATCCCTTCCTGCTCCTCCTAGACCCACCCAGCACAGAGCCTGAGTGAGCCTAAGAGCTGCCAGAAATTTTGAAAGGGACAGTGAAGCACAACATAAGTGAATGGCCTCCATTCAGCTTTGTCTTTTGACCACTCCTTTAAAACTCCTGTGCTGTATAAAGGGGCGTACATAAATGTTCCCTGTCCCAGCTCAGTTTTGCCCTCAGTAATTGTGGAGTAGAGGGGATAGGGCATCTGTACTTGTTTTTTGTCCCTTTAATGAAGGAATTGGAAAAGACAGTTGTAGGAACTTTTAGAGATATATTTGAATTTGTAAATTCAAATTTAGAAAGGAAATTTATAGAGAGAGGAAATTGGCATATTTTTATGGGTCTGAGTTTTAATGGCTGGTTAACTTCTATCAATGCTAACAAGGTGTAAACAGTATGTCATAGCCAGCCTCCAAGATTTCCTCCTACCTACATTGTACTAGGATCTGTCTGTCCAACAGTATATGGCAAAAGTGATGGTATGTCACTACTGAGATTAGGTTATAATACATTGCGGCTTCAGTCTTAGATTCTTTCATGCTCTGTTTCTATTTCTCTCTCTCTGATCACTCACTCTGGAGGAAACCAGATGCCATGCTTCGAGCAGTCCTATGGGGAAACCTCATGGTGAGGAACTGAAGCCTCCGAGACAATAGCCATGTGAGTGAGCTCAAAGCAGAGCCTAAGCCAGAATCATCCAGGTAAAGTACTAGATTTACTGACCCCAGATTCCTGACCCTTGGAAACTGAGATTTTAAGGTTCTAAGAGTGAGGGTAATTTGTTATGCAGCAATGGACAGCTAATACACAGCACTTGTATTGCTTACAGAAAGATGCATTCTTTGTTCATTACAGTTGTGCTTGTTTTACAAAATAATATTGTAGAGGAAAGGATGGACATTTTCTGCTTACCCTTTTTATCAATAAACAAATCAATCATTGTACCTTCAGCTCTTTATTTCTAATTTCAAGGCACTGAACATGTGCATGGAGAATATTTTTAAAGTGAAGATCACACAACTTACCTCTTTTTGGGAAATTCTGACTTTTGGTGAACTTACTGTTCTTCATTGTTTGGCTGCATATTCATCTTACATGTATGTTGTAAACATCTGTAAAAACTTCTGCTTTAGAAATCTGATGTTCACTGTTCGTTTATATTCTACAAGCAGTTTTGATTGTTCATTTTTTAAACATCTTTCAAATCTTGATTTGGAAAACATGCTTGCTTAGAAAAATCAACTCTAACTTGGGAAAAGTAAAGGAAGTAGAGTGTAGGTTAAGATACAACTTAGAGAAACAAATGTCCAAATTTAAATTCCTCCACTGCAGGGATAAAGAAAGAATCCTCTGATTTTTTTTTCCTCTGAAGATGCAGTTAAGGGTTAATTTTGTATTAACGGAGTAATATCTGTACACAACAGATATACTTACCTCACAACTTGTGAGGTAAGACCCAACTTTTAGTGAGTTGGTAATGAGTTCTTGGATCCTTCCGACACCTCCCAGTGGCAGAATCTCGCCCGCTGTTTTACTCATGTTCATATGTGATTCTTAGAAGTTTGGTCCAATACCCAGCTAAGCAAGGACATAGACTCACTCCTTCCTCCTCACAAGGGTGGCCTTCTGAGATTTGGCACGGCTCTCTGTATTCACGTCTTTTTCTTCGGCTTAGCCAACTGCTGAGACTGAACTGCAGATAAACCCTAACTAGTCACACTTCCCACCCTCTGAAAACAGAGTATCATTGAGGAAGTGAGAAATAACCTCGCAGGACAGCAGGGCATCGCGGAAGCCATCGGGGCAGTGCTGCTGCCTCGCCGTGCGTGGGTTTCACCTGAGCGCAGCAGGACGCTCACGGGGGCCGCGGGGCCGAGGGTGTCTGGAGAACAGGACGCCCCCTCCCTGGGCCGGTGATGAACTTACCTTCTTTAATTCCAAAGCAGTGGCCCCACTCCTTCAGAGTGATGTGCTTGTCCTTGTTGGGGTCACATTCCTCAAAGAAGCGAGTGATGCAGTGTTCCATGGGCACCAGAGAGGCTCGCAAGGGAGCGAGCTCGGAATGTGTCAAGGCTCTGCAGTGAGGTAAAAGGCAGCCTATCAACTGAGCAGCTCGTTTACGAAAATCAGCTCTTAGGATCACCAAGGGCATTTTTCTTCCACAAGGTTGCTGAGTATGCCGAATAAACACGAAAAGCTACAAGTGAAATAAACTACTCATGGCAAGATAGACAGCGCTAGGGATGTCAGTTCACCAGGTTTCCTTCTTCACTGGGAACTGTTCTCCTGCCACCCTAAATTTATAGGGGTGTCCCCCAGCCATCATGTGTGTACAACCTGGTTCTTACCCAGATGTAGGTGCTTGACCCAAATTGTGCAGATCAACTTATCTTGGGAATTTAGGATTAAGAATGAGAAAGAGCTGAAGGAGTCTCTGAGGGAGGCTGGGCCCTAATGTGTGAACCTGGGACTCAGGTATGGTCACAGACTGTTATTTTCAAAGCAGTTTGATATTTAGGCATTTGTTTGAGAACTCAGTGCTCCAAAGTGAACTGGGAAATTCCCTCAATCTGTTTAGGATTCTCTTTGCATCACTAACTAGACATACTGTTAGGGAGATGGCCTAGAAATGCGAGGCAAAGTGTTTTCACCTGTCCATTGGATGTTGGTCCAGTTCACTAAACTGCCAGTGCACAGGATACACATACATGTGGTAGTTCTTCTTGAAGTCCCTTAACAGAAGGTCAATGGAATGGTTCCCAGCCAACAGCCTCTTTTCATCCAGGTAAATTTTCTTGACCTGGGATTAGGAAGGGAGAAGATCATCAGAGAATCAGACAAGTGTAATGGGGTTATCCCTTGATGAACTTTACTTGAAAAGAACAGTAACATGACAGAGGAAAACAAGCACAAGCCCTCATATGAGACCAAATGAAATGCCTTTTAGTCAATACTACAGCCTAATTATTTCTACATAGAATAACAGCCAACATTTAAAAAATCTATGGCTTTCAGAAGATTTAAGTCTCTTGATCTTTTAGCCAAGTAATACTCATTGCACTCCTTAAAACTATGAGGTTTTAACAAACAAGGCTGAACTGTCCTAGGCAAAATTGTTGACTAGTTGGTGAAAAGTCCTGCTTTTTCTTCACTTAGCATACCCTAGTCTTAGCTCTCTGTGTGTCCATCCCACGCCTGCTGAGTTCCAGTTTAGCCCTGGTGTGACCCCACTGAAATTTCTCTGTTTTGTATCTAATGCTGTCAAGGATTTCTGTGATGATATATTAAAGAGAGAGGATGGAAATTATTTTGGGGCAATGCATATAAAACTCTCAGCTTGTGACAGTTACCCACTAATTGGAAGCAATCAGAACAGAACTTCTACCCATTCCCATGACCACATCTACCAACTTCCCACCTTGTTATGGTGGCTGTACTTCTGTGCTCCTAATCTAAGGCCAACCCTACTCTTCTCATCTACTTAAGAATACCCTACGGGGTTGGGCCCCTTCTCTGCTCTTCATTAATTTTTCATTCTCTACTGGGATATTTCCAGAAGCATACAAACATCCTTTACCATCTCCCACTGGGACTCTTGAACTCACTGTCCCCTCCAGCTGCCACCCCATTTCACTTTTCCCCCTTTATAGCAAAACACCTTGAAGATACTGCCTATACTTCCTGCTTCCACATCCTTCCTCCTATTGTCTTTTAAACTCTGCTCAGACTTTCTCTTCCCTACTCAGCAGAAACAGCTCTTGTGAAGTTCAGCTATGACCACTATATGCCAAGTCAGTGGCCAATTCAGTTCTCAACCTATAAAGAGCATTTCACACAGTCAGAAAAACATACTCTTTCTTGTTTTATTTTTTCTTAGCACATTTTGTCTCACCTGACATAGCTCTACATATATTTGCATGCATGCTCATATGTGCATATATGTATATATGTACAAATATATAATCTACATATATATAAACACTATTTGCTCAGAGTAGTCTGTTTCTTTGTCTAGATGTAAACTCATAAAGATAGAGATTTTCTGTTTGGTTCACGTAAATCAATTCCAAGTACCCAGGATGCACTCAGTAGCTATCTGATCAATGAATTTTCTTTGGGACTTTCTGAATCAATACTCTGAACTTTTTAATCTAAATATATTACTGACATTGTAAGGGGTTTCCCTTATATCATAAATCTATGTCTGGCATAGGGACAAACACATATTTAGATTTTAATAATATGTTTGGGCCTGAATATAAAAATACTGAATTGGAGTTCACTTTGCTCAACCCAAGTCTACTCAAGGTGAGTTGGAGCCCTTGCTCAGGCCACTGCCCTTGGCACAGGAATGAGGTGGTTTGGTCTGGACCCAAGCCTTGTGTCATGAACGATGACCATTATTATCCTGTTAATCCACATGTACTGGGCTTTTGCTGATAGAGGGAGATAATCTCCCACCCCACCCCAACATCCTTTTTCCTCAGGCCCTGGAGATAGGTGCTTAGGAAGCTGACCCATAAGTAACTTACTTTATTTCTCTGCTTCTCATTTAGATGCCCAGGGTGTTCAGGGTTAGGTTCATAAAGCTGTATGAGGATATTCTTGAGCCAGTCTCTCATCCTTAAAGGAAACTGAGTCACTTCAAAGTCCGTGCAAACAGGAATAGCTGCTCCAAACAGAAAGTAAACAGGTTGTGATCTTTGGATTTTACTCCTTTTCTATGGCAAATCTTCATAACAGGAAGCTTAACAACTTCTGTGTGGACAGCATCCTCCCGGCCCCATGGGTGGCAGTGGTCCTTAACCCTACAGAGCAACAGAATTGCCTGTGGTGCTTTAAAAACACACCAGATGCCAGCTTCCAGTCAAAGAAATTTTGATTTGATTGGTCTGGGGTGGAGCTGGGCGTCAGGATGTTTTAAAAGCTCCATAAACAATTTTGATGTGCAGGCAGGGCTAAGAGCCACTACTCTTGATCAGAGTTGAAATTCAGAGGTGAAGGACACAAAATGTATTTGTTAGGAGAAGAGATAGAAAGGTACAAGTTAGTTTATACTGTGGCAACAAATGGTATTAAATCTCACTGTCGGGGAACAAATTTTATTTCAGTTTTATTGAGATATAAATGACATAAACACTGTATAAGTTTAGGGTGTACAGCATAATAACTTGACATACATATATTGTGAAGTGAGTACCACAGTATGTTTAACTAACACCCATCATCTTAGATAGTTACAAAAAAATTTTCCCTTGTGATGAGAACTTTTAGGATTTACTCTCTTAGCAACCTTCAAATACACTACGCAGCAGTGTTAACTATAGTCATCATATTGGACATTATATCAAAAGTCTATTTCTTGATCCTGCTAAATATCCAGTTCATGCTGGTAGGAGGGCTCTGCTCATCACAGTATCTCTGGGGCTCAGGATGGTGGAGCCACCACCACCTCAATATGAGGTGAACAAAGCATGGAGAACCATACCCCAGCTCTTAAATGCTTCTGCCCAGAACGCATATGGATGATATTTGCTCAAATTTCATTGAACAAAGCAACTCACACAGCCACATCTAGTATCAAGAAGGCTGAGAAGTTTAATACTCCAGTGTGTCCGGAAGAAGAGCAGGACCAGAAATACCAGGAAGCAGTGCTAATGTGTCGAATCCCTTAGCTATGAAGAGACCCAGAACACACTTGAGAGTATCTCAGGGGAGGAAGACAATTTAAAAATCTTTGGGAAGAATATGTTGTCATAAAACTGCCTGGTAGAAGCTTACCTTAAATTGGAAACAAGACAAGTAATTTAGCAAAATTCCAATGATTCATCTCAATTATTAAGTGGATAACATTATCATTGCACTTCTGAACTTTGGCTGCACATTAGAGTTGTCTAGGTTACTTTAAAAACAAATAAAAAACAGTGCCAAAGTCCCAACCTAGTTAAAAAAATCAGAGTCTCTTATAGTTAAAGCCTGGGCATTTTTATTTTTATTTTTTTCAAGTCTCCCAGTCTATTTTAATGTGCAGCCTGGGTTCAGAAGTAAATCAGCTTTTCCCTTTTTGCATATAAATGAGTACATATATATATATTACTCAGATATGCATAGATTCACCCCAAACCTGCAAAGCAATGGTAGTTGGCAGTAGTGCTGGAATCTTACATTTGCAGGCTCCAAAATAATCCAGCTGCAGTTGGTGCCCCTTTTTTGTGCCCTCCAGTTTGCATTTAGTGGCAAACAGGTGACAGGAGCTAGCATAGGTTTGATTGTCAGTGCCACAAACCTAGAAAAGATGGGCATGAGAAAAAGGGCATGTCTCTGAATGTTCATTGGGAAAACACTCTACTCCTTAAAGCTCATAGTTTGTCTGATAAGCAGTGCTGTGCAAAACATGTGGTCAGGTAGGTGAGGGTATTAAAATCATAACTATCCCATTTGGTGCAAAAAAAAAATCAACTATGAGTATCATGGTTCTTCCAAGTGGTAAAGATACCTCAAGACAAATACTGGGCATAAAAGCCACAGGGCATAAATCTGCAAAGAAGTAAAAAGCTAACCTTTTCAAACAATGTTGCCTCTCTCTCACTTACCAACTTTACATTTCCCTGTATGGCCCCGGAAGATGACTGGTTAGCCAGAGACAGGTAAGATTCCTCAAGGGAGGAA